CTTCGCCGCTGGTTCCGTCCAGCTCTCCAGAGATTGAATGCTCTTCCCCGCTGGTTCCGTCCAGCTCTCCAGAGATTGAATGCTCTTCACCGCTGGTTCCGTCCAGCTCTCCAGAGATTGAATGCTCTTCGCCGCTGGTTCCGTCCAGCTCTCCAGAGATTGAATGCTCTTCCCCGCTGGTTCCGTCCAGCTCTCCAGAGATTGAATGCTCTTCGCCGCTGGTTCCGTCCAGCTCTCCAGAGATTGAATGCTCTTCCCCGCTGGTTCCGTCCAGCTCTCCAGAGATTGAATGCTCTTCGCCGCTGGTTCCGTCCAGCTCTCCAGAGATTGAATGCTCTTCCCCGCTGGTTCCGTCCAGCTCTCCAGAGACTGTATGCTCTTCACTGCTGGTTCCGTCCAGCTCTCCAGAGACTGTATGCTCTTCACTGCTGGTTCCGTCCAGCCCTCCAGAGACTGTATGCTCTTCACTGCTGGTTCCGTCCAGCTCTCCAGAGACTGTATGCTCTTCACAGCTGGTTCCGTCCAGCCCTCCAGAGACTGTATGCTCTTCACAGCTGGTTCCGTCCAGCCCTCCAGAGACTGTATGCTCTTCACTGCTGGTTCCGTCCAGCCCTCCAGAGACTGTATGCTCTTCACTGCTGGTTCCGTCCAGCCCTCCAGAGACTGTATGCTCTTCACTGCTGGTTCTGTCCAGCGCGCCAGTGACCGTCCAGCCAGCGCCAGAGACCGTCCAGCCAGCGCCAGAGACCGTCCAGCCAGCGCCAGAGACCGTCCAGCCAGCGCCAGAGACCGTCCAGCCAGAGCCCGAGACCGTCCAGCCAGCGCCAGAGACCGTCCAGCCAGCGCCAGAGACCGTCCAGCCAGCGCCAGAGACCGTCAAGCCAGCGCCAGAGACCGTCCAGCCAGCGCCAGGGACCGTCCAGCCAGCGCCAGAGACCGGGATCCCACCCTGCCTCCCTCTCCCGCCTCCTCTCATCTGTCCTCGCTCTGCTCTCCTGCCCTTCAGCTCCCCTAAACCAGCCTGGTCCTTGGATCCCCGGTCTTCGCCTCACACCTCCTCCTCAGAGACACTTCCTCGGCCCTCTGTCCCATCAGCTCCCCCGTGGCTCCTACCTCCCTCAGCTCCTCCATGGCCCCTCAGTCCACCAGCTCGACCAGGCTCCCTCGACCCTCCGGACTCCCTTCGTTCCCTCGTCATCCTCCCTTCACCTTTGGACTTCCTTCCCTTGGCTCCGCCCCGTCATGTCACCCCCCCGGTTCTGTCGGACTCCTCACTCCCTCCAGTCACCCGTCAGCCCTCACTCCCTCTGGCCTCACCGTGTCCCTCTGTGCCCCTGTCGTCACTTCTGTCACCTGTACCTACGGTGTCACCATGGTCCCTCGGTCCCTCCTCAGCACCCAAAGTCGTCTGTCCCTCTGCTTCACCCTGGTCCCCTCTCCCATCTGCTCCGCCCCTGTCAGTCGGCCCCCTGGTGTTGTCAGCCCCGCTTCCATCGGCTCCACCAGGGGTCCTCCCTCCATCTGCTCCGCCCTGGTCTCGCCCTCCATCTGCTCCGCCCTTGTCTCGCCCTCCATCTGCTCCGCCTTGGTCTCGCCCTCAGCCTGCTCCGCCCTGGTCTCGCCCTCCATCTGCTCCGCCCTGGTCTCGCCCTCCATCTGCTCCGCCTTGGTCTCGCCCTCAGCCTGCTCCGCCCTGGCCACGCCCTCAGCCTGCTCCGCCCTGGCCACACCCCTCTCAGCCCCCAGTTCGTCCCCCCTCCTTCCTCTGTTCTGCGGCGTGAGGTCACGCCTCCCGGGAGGGGGGAGTTCTGTCACAGTCTTCGTCTGCACCATCCTGTCTTGTCTTCAGCACTACACTTCCCAGGATCCTCTCGTCACCCTATCCCGTGTTCACTCCCTCATCAGCCACCTGTTCCTCGTCATCGTCATCTGTTTCACCTGTCTTCACCTCATTATGTTTGATTCTTCTGTGTATTTAGTTCCCTCAGTTTCCTTCAGTCTTTGTCGATCGATGTTAATGTTACGCTGTGTTCTGCCTGCCTGTCTTCTGTTTATTTATGATTAAACCCTTATATTGGAGCTTTCTGGACTCTGCCTGTTCGTCCTTCTGCCTGAACCCGCACCCGTGACAGAGATAGAGGTGTCCAAAATGCGGCAAGAGGAACATCACATAAAAGTGTAAATTAAAATAATTATTTTGGGTGCCAGTGTGCATGAGAAAACTGTTAAAAGGGTAATTGGAGTTTAATTCTCTTGGAAAACATCACTTTAATTATGTCTCATTATAGAAGTTTTTAAAGCTCTGTGTGGGTGTCACTGTTAAAATTCATTTATTCATGCATGCATTTTCCACATTATGGTTAGCCTACATAATTAAGAAAGTAAAAACCCTGTGTATAATAGCAAGACTTGTTTATATAAAATATTTTCTAAAAACGGCATGCGCAAGTTTGTGCTGGGGAATTCTGGGTAAAATTTTGGACATATCACAAATAACAGCAATAATGTTTGGAGTTTTGCTGCATCCAACAAGCTTTTTCCCCCCTCTCACTTGCTGCAAGCTGAAGGCGTGCTGGTGGTGGCAGAAAAGCCATGTTGTACCACAAAAAAATCATATTGAATCAAAGCTTTTGAACTTAGTAAAAAAAAAACTGTAAGCGCTGCCACCCTGTGGTTGCTATTATAAAAGTTAATCAAACAAAGTAGGCCACAACTATAGACAGTAAAAGAAATGGACACAGCGACCCCATAGACTTAAACGGAGCAAACTGAAGTCAATTAGAAGCACTCACTTACTGATTGCTGATTGTCTCACAGTTGTATGTTTTTTAGTAGCGATGCCAAGAGAAATCTGAATCGTTCCCTTCTGAATCCTAGAGAGACCGAGAGAGTGAGTATTAGTTGTCTATGAGCAGCAGCAGGAGCAACTTTATAACTCTCTATGGGCTTCTCCCTTGACTTTTTGCCTCCACGTCCCCCCGATTGCCTGCAAGCTTCTCCTCCTGTCTACACGGTAATTTCTCTACTGTGCGACAGAGAGTCCCGTGTGTTATGACGCAATCGTTAGCCTGTTTTTACAAAAACTGCTTCTACGGGGCTATTAGGTAAGATACAAGGTAATGGAGCCTTTTATACATTGTCATGTTTCTTTAGAAATAAAAAAATGGAAACAAATTATGGACAAATGGAGTCTTTAAACGCCTCAGATGTAAAGTTATTCGCTGCCAACGTGACGGCAAAATGATTAGGAGTCAATGTAATGCTAACAGCAGGTGATGGTCTGCTACAATGGCAGCCCCCGGGGAGACATCAGTTTCCGGCTGATGGCTAAAACAGAGAAAAGTGAAGTCAATTAGAAGCAATCACTTCCTGATTGCCAACCGCACTGCAAAGGCTCACACTGAGCTTGATGACGTAGATGTGACATGAGCAACCTGTCTCACAGTTGTACGTCTTATAGTAGCGGTGTCAAGAGGAATATGATTCATTCCCTTCCAAATCCTGGAGACAGAGCATGAGTAGAAGCTGTTCATGAGCAGCAGCAGGAGCAACTTTATGACTCTCTATGGGCTTTTCCCTTGACTTTATGCATCCACGTCCCCCTGATTGCGTGAGCTACTCCTCTTGTCCGGTAATTTCTCTACTGTGCGACAGATAGTCGCGTTATGAGCAAGGGGGTAATCCATCAGCCGGAAACTGAAGCCTCGCGAGAGTCACCATTGTAGCAGATCATCACCTGCTGTTAGCATTCCATTGACTCCCATTCATTTTGGAAGTCAATTGTCACTTTAACAACGAATAACTTTACATCTGAGGCGTCCAAAGACTTCATTTGTCTATTAAAGAAATATGACAATATATAAAAGGAGATTTACAACTGTCAGACTGTAGTCACGCTCAGTTTGGGCCTGCGCAGTCACTCAGACATCAGACAGGAAGTGCAATAATCGGGCTTCAGTCTTCTCCGTTGAAATCAATGGAGTCGCTGTGTCCATTTATTTATGGTTATGAGTCAATGGAATGCTAACAGCAGAAGGCTTGTTAGCCAATGGCGGCCGCCGGGGAGACTTCAGTTTCCGGCCGGTGGATTACCCCCTTGGCTACAACTCAAAACCTTTGCCTGGATGCCAGACCCGCTCACAACATTTTTTTGGTCGGGAAGTTAGGTCTGAACTCGATCCATTGAGGAGTAATTATGATTGGTTCAGAAATTGTCAGGCCAATCAAATTGCCAGGACCGGTGTGCCCAAGTAAAAGAAGCAACACTCATTATTTTACTACTTTCAGCGTGCGTGCAGTTGAGTTCTGTTGACAACTATGCGTACAGTAGCTCAACATGCGTCACTCACTGCGTTGCTCTGATTGGTTGTAGGTCTATCCAATTGAGTGCAGAGGTTTTTTTTTTCCTGGTTCGGTTAAGACACGCCTCATAATCGAAGCCCTATGGATCAGTATCAGACTCACATTCTGAGAATATGAGTATGACGAAGTCAGGCTACAAAATCTTAGTAATTGTAGCTGAAAACAACAACAAAAAAATGGTCCGTTATTATCTGTTAATTTAAGTTATTTTACCTCCAATACTAAAAAAATAGATCACATTTACCAGAACATGTAATTTTACTCTAAAGCAAATTTACTGTTGTTTAAAAAGTATGAATTACAACATTGTTCAGTGAAAATATGTATTTAACGAGAAAACATAATGTACCTTTACACTAAAATGTGGTTTAAAATGAAACTTTCACAGTACTTTGACATAAGATACTTCATAATTTGCAGTGAAAAAAGTTCTGAGTTAAAAAATAAATCCCATAATGTCTGAAACGTCACAATACACATATCCTCCCCGAAAACTAAGTGCTTATTGTTCTACATTTATTTTGATAATTCCTTCCAATCCTGCTTGACCTATGTGTTATGAACAATAAAAATGAGTTTTAAACTATGCATTTAAATAGATGAAAGCACAACTTCTAATCCAACTGAAAATGTTGCAGGTAAAGATATGGTTCCAGAACAAGCGTTCCAAGTTCAAAAAGATAATGAAACATGGCTCAAGCGGACCAGAAGGAGAACACCTTCAAGCGGCTTCTGCCTCCGGACCACCGTGTTCACCAGGAATGCCGCCCTTGTGGGATGTTTCTATGTCAACCAAAGGTGCCCCCATCCACTCAGGAGGATACATGAACTCTTTTGGACACTGGTACCCTGGTCATCATCAAGACCCAATGGCCAGAACTCAGATGATGTGATGGGGGTTTAGGACAGTCTACAGAGCATCCAGATCTGATTTTAACAGTTCACTCACGTTGAGATCACTGTTTACTCACAGCCTAACATTCTTCAAGTTCCTCCCCAGTGTTTTCCTCATGAAGATTTACATTGCTGGCCTTTTTTTTTTTTTTTTTTTTTTTTTTGCTTGCAGGATTTTGTGGTGGATTTTTCTAAAGACTGAATAGACAGCCAGACCAAACTTGGATTTTGTAAACTCTTGTAAATTTGAATAAAATGCCATTGTCTGATTGCCTTGATTGTCTATCCTATATTTCAAAGCTTGCAACCTCATTCATTATTCACTCTATTTATCAGTTTATTGCATATTATTTTCCCTTTGTTAAAACAGCAGTCTTGAAATGACAGTCTTGACCCTTTTACTAACACTAATGAAATATTTTTCCTTATACAAAAATAAAAAATGAAATGTAATGAATGCAATGACAAACGAATGCAATAAAAATACAAAATATTTTAAAATAAAAGAGAATAAAAAAGTTGCAAACACAACAACTTTAAAAATATTTAAGAAAATTATTTTAAAACAGTTAGATGGAGTACAGCATGTCATGCCACATAATAAATGGACTTCATCTCAAAAGTCGTCTAATAAAATGCTATCTTAAAGGTTATATCCTCTGTTTTATATTGACTGTCTGTTGCCACCTAGTGGTTTGAAAACACACCATGCATGATTATAGCGTTGGGTGTGTTTGACGGAAGCTAACTCTCTCTCCTGGCCTAACAAACACAGATTAATGTAAAAAGCTTTAGTATTATGTTGAGCCGGATACTGACCTCTGTATTGAAAACATCAGACCATTATTACCCTAGATTAGAAGATGACACAATGAAGATGGAACTGGATTACAGAAAATCACTTTGAGGCCTAAGCAACAACATTTTCTATTTGGAAAGTTAAATCATTTTCAGCAACATGGCCGACTATGAAGTGTCTGTTCAACAGCTCAATGATTTGTTGACAGATGAAAACGGAGACTTCTGTATGCCCTCCAATCATTTTAATGAAGTCTACCCCGGGATACTGCTAGGAAATGAGTAAGTCCTCACATAGCCTACAGATATGTAGGCTAGTGGGTGGATTATTTTCTTATACCATACTGAAACATCCCTCAACAAACATTTACATTTGCAGTTAAACTGTCTGTTTAGCCTTTCCTATCTGATAAGCTAATAATAAAACATGATCATGTATCATGTTTTAAATTCCCAAGGGCAAGTCTTTAAATAAACATGACCTATTTTCCATGTGTGAATGTCAGTGAATGTTCCTCTTATGTTCGCACTCACACTATAGAGATCAGTTAAACGGAGATGGCTGTTAGTACACCTGTTACACCTGTATGTCAACAGGTCTGTAGCCACAAATGTAACACATTTGAATCAGCTGGGAGTGACACACATCCTCAATGCGGCAGAAGGCCAATCGGACATGCATGTGAACACGAATGCAGAGTTCTACGCAGACACGGGGATCATCTATCATGGGATACCAGCCTTTGACACAGACCATTTTGACCTCAGTGTATATTTTGAAGAGGCTTCTAATTTCATTGAAAAAGCTTTGGCAATGAAAGGTTTGAAAAGGTTTTTTTTTTTATCTCATCCCTCATTTAATGGCATTCGCTAATGCATCCGGTACTTTAAAGCAGCATAGATCCTATTAATAGTGCATTATCTGTTAATATCCTAAGTCTTCTTGTTTCAATGACCCACTAATAATAAACTGCTTGCTTGCTGCCTGCTCTCACTGCTAATTTGTGCTTTACCAACATCAACGTTAAAGGGAGAGGTTGTTTTTTTTTCACCCAAAAGTGAAAATTCTGTCATCATTTAGGCTACTCACCCTCAAGTTGTTCCAAACCTGTGTGAATTTCTTTCTTCTGTTGAACACAAAATAAGATATTATGAACAACGTGGACACAGTTGATGAGCCCCATTTTCTTCCATATTATGGAAAAAAAATAGGCCTACTATGGAAGACAATTGTGTCCATTTTTGAGCAAACTATCCCCTTAACACTAGGGGATCCAGAACTGCACAAAGTTTGAAATAACTGATTGGTTTCCTACATTCTTTAAAATATGTTCTTTTCTGTTCAGCAGTTCATACAGGTTTGGAACAACTTGAGGGCGATTAAATGATAACACAATTGTTCATTTCCATTGAATAGTAGCCTAGCCTAAAATAAGCTAACAATAACAATAGCCTAGTTAATCAATATCATGCTAGCAAGAGTGCTGTTATCAAGAACATGAGCATTAGCAAAAACACAACAGCTCAATAATATTTTTAAGTATTTAATTATTGTTAATATGTTAATATTGAGTTTCAAACATTTCAGACAATGTTTTGTCAATTCCTGTCCACCAGTGAATGTTCCAGAGTAAGCCAAAGCATATCACTGCACATTTTAGAGCCACGCAGTTTTTAAATCCCCAAAAGAATTAAGTATTCTTGAAAGAGTTTTTTGAATTATTCATTATTTGCTTATAAAAACAGTTAAATTTCGCCACCTACTGTTAATGAAGCCTTGAGAAACGCGCGGTCAAGCGGAGTGATACAATTACAGTGAAAAAGTCCCAGTGTTGTTAGACTGTTATGTCAGCATTCTTGAAGCTCTGCTCAGTCTAATTCGAGGATAGCCAACATTCTGACGATGTGTCTTGTGTGCTACCCGCGGTGAAAACAGTTATTTTCTTAATTTAAAATAATTTCCCCATCAAAGTATCATCATAGAAATGAGCTATTTTACATTTTGGCAACTTCCATGCAATGTTTTCGTTTAGGATCTGCTTAAGCCCTTTTAAAAATCTTACCTTTTCCTAAACCTTAACATCCATTAATCTTATAGACTTTAATTTCTTCTGTAGGTAAAGTGTACGTACACTGTCAGAAAGGCTACAGTCGTTCGGCTGCACTAGTCATCGCACACCTGATGCTGCAGCACAGGATGGGTGTTCGAGCGGCTTTGGCCACAGTTAGAGAGAAACGGGAGATCGGACCCAATGATGGATTCCTGCGCCAGCTCTGCAAGCTAAACGATTGTCTGGAAAGCGAAGGAAGACCGCGGCACTAAAATGAATCTGTATTTTTATTAGCTAACTGATATTAGTTGGCAAGTCAATTGGTAAGCAGTTTGCCAATTGGAATGGTTGTGTTCTGCATTTCTAATGTGTCTTCTGCCCTCTAGTGGTACTGTTTATCAGAGCAGTTTAGGCAGAGTATATGACAATAATTACAGTTTTCTTCCAAATAACTACATAATCAAACACAAGAGGTCTTCACAACGGACAACAATCATTTATTAAACATTTTAAAGTGAAAAGTAGCACACATACCTGAGTTACACTGAAATCCCTCCCACATTTTCTGCTTTCATCGGCTTGTTGTACATTTTAATATATTGTGATTGTATAGCTGCAAATAGAACTTTCCAGTCTCTTAACATCCATTACAGGTTGCTACATGACATAGTTTCATAGGATAATGTACAATGCTACAAAGGATGATTTAACAGCAATTCTGCTCTCTGGACTAGATCGTGCGCCACTGACTCGTAGAGAAAGAGCCATTAGCATGGTTAGCGTAAAGCACATCGATTGTGCTTCACGAGCAAGAAAAAGACAAACGTGAGCAAGCATCACTGTCTTTGTCATTATATTGAGCTATTTATGGTAGAGAGATTGCAAATAAAAGCACTGTTAAAATACAACAATGCACATAATGTACACATCACTGATTGAACATAAAAAAGGCCTAACCACTGAAACAAAGGCCAGTGAGGTGCCTGTGGTGAGGATGAGGATGGTTTCTAACGGTAAGCGAGTTCCTTTTGTATATTAGACCCTGTTGAATATTGTAGTTTCAGTGAGGCACTGGTGATGGGGGTTAAGCTTTTTTTTTTACTTAGGCCTATATTTAGATTTGCTGCAGATGTGTTCTTTAATAGCTGGATACAATTTTTTTTTAAACTAACATTAACATTCAACGTTCACTCCAGCCTGATCACATCATGGCAGTACGTGTGTTGGCTAAGATACTGGAGGAGTGAGAATTACTGTTTAATTTTGACACAGATGTGATTCTACGCTAAACTCACCCTCCTGTATCGATTGCATGTGAGGTATGAAGGTTTGAAATAACAGAAATCATTGTTCTTTATCGAGTCACTACAAGAGAATCTTGATATGGGAGAAAGCTGGCGTAAATACTAATGAAGTGTGTCAAATCAAACACAAAAGATGCACAATGGCCATCCACACTGAGCATTTACAGAAACACAGTACAGTTCAGATCAAAAAGCATCCACAAAAAAGCAGTGTCTAAAATAAACTTTAGTTTTGCTCTGAACAGTTGCTCATAACAATCCACTCATTGAAAATTCACAGTTACATAAACAGCCTGCAAATGTGCATAAAATACAGCAAGTATTCTGAGTAAATAATAAGCGTTTTCTCTCTTTTATTATTAATTTTTTTAAATCCTCATCAGATGGACAGGGTGTTTTTTTCTTAATGGAATGTCAGGTCTTGACACAGATCTCAAAACTGACTTGCTACATTGCAGACATGCAGATGACAAGGGATTTAATAGTTCGAGTGAATCTTCCAGAGGGCTGTTGAAAGGCCTTTTTTAAGACCTATTAAAGGAGTCATAGCATTACATTTTCCACCCTGAGGTCCACTTATTTATTTATACATTTGTGCTCCGACAATAGTCAAAATGTTATTTTTAATGGTTTTTGTGCCTTTAAGTCATTACATAATTTCGGCGCGTTTCGCATGTTCTCATCTGTAAACTGGATTCAATCTTCCCTGAAACCCTAAACTTGTGGTAAAGTAGTTTCCACAATTTGGCCTACAAATTTACGTAATTCCTGCACCACTCTTAGACTGAACACATCACCGTTTTCACAAATTCAAGTTTTTTTTAGTTTACACAAAGACAATATTAGTATCATTTTCAAAAACTTGCACTTTGAAACCAGTTTTCAGAAGTTTGCATTTTCTGGCCCCCAACATGCCTTTGTCGTCTAAATGAACGGCCAAAACACATACAAAGTTTGAGCCTAATTCTGAACGAGGGAAGAAGTTCTGAAAGTTACAGTATGATTTCATAGCACAATAAACTTTTATTTCAAAATATCATGATATGACCCTTTTAAGAGTCAAAGTTTCAATCAACATATTCATGATCTGGCTAGGTGTAAAGGACTAAATTCTGTTCTAATAAAAGTGCTGTAAACCAGGTTTGTACATCCAGCAAAAAAAAAAAAAAAAAAAAAGGCTTCCTGATTCCCCTTATCAAGCGCTGGGGGGGTGGGCAGGGCTCAGCTGAGCTGACCCTTGCTGGTGCAGTAGATTGTGACTGTGGCCAGTGCTGGTGGGTAGGATTGAGCCTGAGTCAGGTGCATGGCCTGGGGCCTGAGTTTAGCTAGTCACAGTGAGGATGTACTTGCCATGCCTCACTTCCTAGAGCCATACTGACAGTATCGGTCAAAAAGGACACTGAAATCTTGCTATGCATATGAACCAAGAAAAAAATATGCTGGTTAAACTATTTGAAGAGATGCATTGGGGGTCTGGCTGTGTCCTTTGCTGTGCAAAAGTTTATGTACAGTTCTTGTGTGAGATGGTCGGTTGCATGTGATCAGTTTGGGTTTGGAGGCAAGGGGACCTGTATGAGGTTCACCTTGAGCAGGAGTCATCTTGATGAACACGACGAAATTCATTCAGCCTGGCACATTCTTACTATCCACAGAAACAGGGAACAAGACTTGGTCCCACATCGCAAGTGAAAGGGAAAGCAGAATACACACATGAGTGAGGTTGATATCACATTTTTGTGACTTTTTAGTGTAAATGTGTATGTTTATGTACAGGTTTAAGCAGGAACATATATGCAGGGATGAGGGGTAAGTGCAATTATTTACTTTCTTCTAACAAGGAGGTTAGGGAGATCGTAAGTTACCTCCTTTCAAAATCAGTACAGATTTAGGGTACAATATGGCTAAAAGTCCTTGTTGTTTTTATTTTCCCTCCCAAAACACGGAATATGAAAAAACACAACTACAACACTTTCCCAAACAACGGTTTGTCGCTCTAACCAGCAAAAAAAGAAAAGTGTTTTAAATTTATTTAAAAAAAATAATAGAGCCAATCTTAAATGTGCAGATTTTGGCAACTAATGAGAATCCTTTATATTATATAATATAAATTTAGAGACAAAATACTTGTTAATGATTTGTTGAAAGTGATTGAGCCCAAAAGTTTATCAGCAAACTGGCAATTAGTGATTTTGTTTTTGGGATTAAAAAGCCTCATAGTGGCTGTTTAGGCAGATGAAAATCCCATGTTTTCTCCATAGAGAAATAGATTTTTCAAGTCACGATTAAACAAAAGTAGCAACAGATCGTTCGTTTTTTTTTTTCATATTGATGTTTAGACTAGTTGTAACTATAAAACACCAGATTATCTGATGAGACAAATGAACACAAAGAGCGATCTGAAGGCCATGATGAGGAGATGTCTCAAATACAGCATATAGCGTATAGCATGCATGTGTGTAAATTAATCTGTCAGTCCAAGAATTGGATAGCACTAGGACAGACCGATAACTCACGACAGCTATATGGGTCACGCAGCAAAATGCAACAAGAAAATGTTCAGCTCAAGTAACATATGCAATACAAGTGGATATGATAGATAGGAAGGTATATGAGAACTGTATACACTGCATTTTAAGAAGAAAGATGGGTTGATGCAGGTAGAATTGTGAGCATACATACATGTATGGACATGTTGCTACATGTATGTTTGTATGCTGGTGTATATGAGGTATGAGAAGTTAACACGACATGTTAATGTCTGTACAGTGTGTACGAGTGCACACAGGTAGTTATGTTTAAAAAGGAGATATCCTATGCGTGCAAAGAGGAAGATGAACGCTAAAATACTACTGTAATTTGTGGAAAATTGGCATTACTTTGTAGATTAATAGTGTAGAGCCCAAATGTTGCTCAAAGAAGTTTCCTCTGTCCTTACAACAACTCTGCTAGCATTTCTGAAACAGGTTATGAAGTAGATATTGAAAAGTGGCTTTCTTTGTCACGCTTTTATAATAAGCTCCTTCTGAGGTTGGGAGGTATGTTGGTACGAGAGGTAGGTTGATGCATGCTAGCCTTTTGTCCGCCTGTGGAAGGAATCTGAATGGCAAGTGACTGTGGAGTCGAAAGGTGTGGAGGCCGACACCCCAAAACATTTCCTAGACAAAGCTGATGAGGGACCGACGGCGCAAAATAAAGTACATGTCCCGATTCGGCATTGCATGAGGCTGGAAAAAATCAAATGCTTCTGGTATGCTTTGAGAAAACAAATTCATGATCAGTTTTCCCCCGAAATTTTCCCTGTGGCTGTCAGTCACACCTCCTGATCCTCGAAGACCTCTAGGAAGAGCGGGGGGAAGAGTTCTGTGGGACACTCCACTTTCATGTGCAGGAAGCGGCTGGCGTGACAGGCGCCGATCATGCGCAGGTTCGTCACCTTCATCAGCAGCTTGGGCCAGAAGTGAGAGATGCTGTGCTTGCGATAATTGATGTAGTGCTCGAATGCTAACAGGTACGTCTCCTGACACTTCTCGATCTTTTCCACACATGTCAGTCCAGAACGATCTGTGTAATGGAATATTAAACAAAAATTAAAGTCAACCCTTTAAAGATCCCGTCAGGAGGTCATAATAGAAAGGGTAATGGAAATTTCACCCCCAAATACAAAATATTTCATCATTTACTCACTCACTCTCCTCCTGGTTTAAAACCCATGTTATTTTTCCAATAAGGAGAATTACTGATAACTCGTAGGCAAAATCAATACAATAAAAAGTGTTATATTAATGTGTTTGTTGCACAAAGATACATCATTTGACTATGGGTTATGTCGAACAGACTACTGATTTATTTAAAATGTTATTCATCAAGAATTTCTGTAACACAATTCACATGAGCATGAATGGATGTTAAATAAAAGTAGTTACTGAACCCCTTTGAGGCATTAAAGTAGTCCAAATGTATGCTATGCGCTACGTATGCTAAAACATCCTTCCTATTGCTGCTGAAACAGCATTGGTGTGTTTGTCTTGTCACAAACATTATGTAATCGTTACAAATGGTGCTGTTGTCCTGGATGGGAGTGAGGTTTAAGGGGTTGAGTTTAACCGTTGTAGGCCATTAAGAGTTGTGCGAATCCCTCTTAGAGCAGGTCGATTAGGACCGGTTACTCTTACATAAGCATCATTCACACTTTCAGTCCAAATCCAATTATTTGTGTATCCAATTGGAATCTGATTTAACTTATTTACCATCCAAATTGTGAATCGCAACTGTTCAGATCTGATTTGTGTGCCCCATGTGTCCATTTGTTTTCTGGAATATCTCCATTGGTTTCTATGGAAACGGTTGTCTCAAGCGGTTGTCTCAGGAGCGCATCCATGGGGTTGAGAATTGTCGCTGGTTTAACCAGTTGCAGTTCCACGACTGAGCTTGCCTGCTTAAATTCCCCCCGCCAGTATCCGCATGAAGACTAGGCTTTAGGTAGGTAGATGGACTAAAATTCTAAGAATTTTGATTTTTTTTTTTTTTTTGCTTATGGCTGATGTTGAAAAATTTGTTGAATCGCCTTTGCACATTTTGATAATGCACAAAATATCAACTTTTAGAAATCGCTGAATACTATAAAATAAAACTTAGCGATAAGCGAGTAAAAGAAATTGGTTTTTAAAACGAGACTTGATGGAAGTAGAAATTAAATATATCCAAGAAAACGATATTGCTGTTCTTTTGTGTTCAGATTGGACGTCTCCTTGTCTGTTAGTCGTAAAACCTGATGGGTCAGTAAGGTTTTTGTACAGATTTTCGAAAAGTAAATCCTGTAACAAGACCTGATTGTTTTCCGCTCCCTCAGGTGGAAGACTGTGTTGACCAGGTAGGTTGCGACATGCGACTAAACTTATTTTGTAAAGAGGTTATTGGCAAGTGCCTTTGACTCGGCGAGCTCAAGAAATTTCCTCCTTTGTCACTCCATCAGGCCTTTATTTTTACAAAGTCATGAGTTTTGGGCTGCGAAATGCGCCTGCCAACTTTCAACGTCTGATGAACCATGTAGTATCAGGCCTTGAGGGGTGTGCTGTGTATTTGGACGATCTTGTTGTGTCCAGTCACAGTTGGGACTTGCATTAAAACGTCTGCATGCAGTTTTGAGGCCAGCTTGACTGCATGGCAAATTGCGACTTTGCTCGTGCCGCTGTCACATACCTCAGTAAAGTGGTCAGAAATGGTAAAGTCCGACCATTAAATGCAAAAATTCAAGAGTACCCTGCGCCTACTACCACTACGCAGCTTGTGCGTTTTTTGGATTTAGTAGGTTACTACCGTTCTTTTTCTTGTAACTTTTCAGCAGTTGTCGCACCACTTAACGATCTTTTGAAAGCCAAGGCAAACTTCATATGGTCTTCAAATTGTGTGCTAGCTTTTGAAAATGTTAAGCGTCTATTGTCTTCTGTCCTTGCTGCTCCTTGCTTTGAAAGGTCATTCTCTTTGCAGGTTGATGCGAGTCAGGTTGTTGGAGTTGTCCTTCAACAGGCTGATGAGCAGCAGATGGTTCGGCCTGTCGAAACTTTTCCTCAGTTGTCGCACCACTTACCAATCTTTTGAAAGCCAAGGCAAACTTCATATGGTCTTCAAATTGTGTGCTAGCGTTTGAAAATGTTAAGCGTCTATTGTCTTCTGTCCTTGCTGCTCCTTGCTTTGAAAGGTCATTCTCTTTGCAGGGTGATGCGATGCGAGTCAGGTTGTTGGAGTTGTTCGGCCTGTCAGTTTCATTTTTAATTCATACCAACTGAATTATTCTGTGGTGAAAAAAGAGGCTTTTGGCTTTGATTTGGGCGTTACAGCATTTTGACATCTATGTTGGCTCAAGTCAACCATCCTCTTGTCATTTATACCGACCATAACCCATTGACATTTTTTAATTCTATTTGAACCAAAGGCTGATACGTTGGTCCTTGTTTCTCCAGGCCCATTGCCTTCACATTCACACCCTATGAATGATGCTTAATGTGTAGTTAAAATTTATTTACATTTGTCTTTTTTTGTCTTGCTCTGGCTGCTGTCCTTGGTCCTTAACTTCTTGGGGAGTTATGGGCCTTACATTTTTGGCTTAATTGTCTTGTTTATTTGCAGGGATTCTTAACCCTAGAACGGGCATGACCGTCATTTTGACCGTTTTGAATTTTATCTGCAATAACTGTTGAAAAAAAATTCTGCTGGTACCGGACTTTTCCTAAAAGTGTCTGTATTTTCACACATGGCAAAAAAGACAAATCAACATATTTACCTCTTTCAGCCATAGACGGTCATATTGACCGGACTGAATTTTGCGGTATTCTTGTGTTATTGTTATATTTCCTGCGGTTGACCTTTGTCTTTCTCACTGTCAACAGAATATCTAAATAAGATACTTTTAGTTGTTATTATCTTGTTCTGAGTTATGTTGAATGGCTATGGAAATATAGCCTATCTGTTGTTGGCTTTTCTGCTAATTGAATAAATGTTGTAAATATGAGATAATTACGGTAGGCTACTAATGCTATTATTATTTATGTATAATTAAACGTGGTTAAATGTACAGTCTGGTGTTGTTTGTTTTTAAACGATATCCAAATACAATAAATGCATTCATCTCTCAATCAGGTATTTATTGCTTGCACATGCAGTGGAAGGCAAGGGAACAATAACCTTCGAAATTTGAAAGTCAAAAATTCAAATGGGAGAAGACAAAATGTCATACAGATTTAAAACGACATAAGGGTGAGTAAATGACGATAATGACTTTTTTTTTACTCATTTTTGGGTGAACCATATCCCTTCATGAGCTTATGATTAATTGTGATGATTCTTAGAAACCCATGTATGGCTATAGCAGCTCTCAGTCTATCTCACCTGAGCTCATGAGAAGTACAGCCTGCAGCAACGCCACCTCTGAGTCATCCAGGTTGAACTGTGACAGGCTCTTGCCCAAATCAAAGATGGCATCAGACACCACTCCTAACCCGCCATTCTTCAGCTGCTCTCGACTGACAGCCATCTCTCCGCTTAAGGTCAGCGTCTCGCTCTCTGGGTCATACCGCACCGCTGCACGCAAGGACATGATCTCCATACAGCAGCCTTTCAGCAGGATAATCTGGTCTTCACAGGGAAGCTGGACACAAGTGGAGGAACTGATTCTTGTGCTTTCACAGAACACATGATATTTTTCAAGGCTCAAAAACAAGGATGGGTCACTATTTGATTGTGAATTGTGCTGGTCAATAACTCAAGGAAGGAAAAAAAAATCAACCTGACTAATGGGGCTTTAGAGAATTAAAGATTTTTCCAGGTTACGACATTTTTGGCTGTATAGAAGTTCCTATTTAATTATAATACATTTTATTTTTCATTTGATATGTCTTTTAAATGCGTGAACATTTTAAATACTAAAGTATTTTACAAATATAAAGATTACACATTTAAAAAGTTAAATTCCATGAACATATTTAAAATTAGAACAAAATTATAAAATAATACATATAAATTTATAATTGTATAAGTAATACATTTATTATGAAATTTGTTATTTAAAAAAAAAAGTTAAATATTGTCTGGTAAGTAGAAATCTGAATTTTCTGGCTTATATCTTTCTAACAAAAAAACAATCCTTATTTTCCTGCCATCTGACAACAACAAATCTGGCTTTAAAACAGGTGGTCTTTTGGGAGTAGTGCAATTAAACTAAAAGCTTCAATTTCAATGTCCTCCAATGTAGAAAGATAACAAGTGGTCATTTGAGATCCTCATGTGTTCACATGAGCAATTAGAGTGGCAAAATAAGTGGTTGAATGCAGAGCAACAGTCCATAATCACAGCCAATGCTTTAATGAAGCCGTTACTCAAATGTGCTAGCAAACAAGACGAAACACAAGCAGTAGAGGTTCAAAAAGTACAGGGACAACTGGCGCAGAGCAGATAATTGTTCTTTTACAGCAGTCTCTGTATGACAATTGCCTCAATAATGCAGAACAGTGTTATTTATGAAAATGTGCATTTATGGAATAAGTATTAGCTGTGCAGAAGCTTGAAAAGAAAACAGACACTGACCTCAGAGAACATGGGCAGTTTTTTGGCAAAGTCCACAACTCGTGTGATGGCAGGGGTGATGATCTTGGTGAACTCACTAAAGGCCTCCAGGTCGACTTTGTCGCTGTCTAATGTGGGTGCTGGAGACTGCCCAATGTCTTCTGGCTGAAAGACAAACAATGAATAAGTTTGGAGTGACAGAGATGTTACTAATTGAATAATGTTCAACAACAGGACAACATTCACATTTTCTACATATATACAGGCCCCACCTTAAGAAACAATACATTTTTAACAAATTTGTGAGAATGACGTGAGTGTAACGTGTAGTTGTGTCTGTTTAGTTTCATTGTGTTTTGGTTCCCATTGTGCCTGTGTTCCTGATCATTATTAGTCTCCCTGGTAGTTTAGTTCCTGCACCGGCTCTGTTTTACCTTGATTACTCCCTCTTTGTATTTAAGCCCTCAGTTTCCTTTGTTTCATTGCCCGGAATCATCTGTGTTTTATGTGGTTGAGCGTTAGTTTGCTCCTGCATTTTCCTTTAAGGATCAATAAAGAAGTGTTTGATTGGATTCTCCTGCATCATACGATTACTACAGTCACTAATTGTAATTGTTAATTGTTTTTTTGGTTTTTAATGACAGTAAATCCACATATAATGTTACAAAAAAAAAAATCACAAATTTTCCAAAAATTGTAATCAGCACAACTGTTTTCCACATTGATAATAATCAGAAAAGTTTATGAGAATCAAATCATAAGATTTCAGAAGGATCATGTGACACTGAAGTCTGGAGTAATGAGTAATGAAAACAAAGCTTTGGATCACAGCAACAAATACATTTTAAAATATGTTCAAATAGAAAAGAGTTATTTTACATAGTAATACTATTTCACAACATTAGTTTTTACTGTATTTAAGATCGAATAAATCTAAATTCGGTGCAATTCGCTTGTGTGCACACTAACCAAACAAATGTAACTTTGATGATGACAAATGAATCCATTCATCCATCCTCAAACTAATTATCTGATTGTTTTAGGGACATTTAAGAGCTCGTTGGCCAATAGCTGCATTCGAAAGCTTAAAAATACTGACTTCGGAGGACGCATTCCAAAGGCATCAAGGCACGTCCGAATTCAATGTTAGCTTCTCCTGAGATACCTTCATCTGATCGAATTTTAAAGGAAGCCTTTGATATCACACAATCTTGTGCATTCCATTCTGTGGCAGTCTGAAAGTTGTGGTTGGTGGGCAGTTTGAGTATAAATGTACGTTTTTGACCAATGTTATTTACTTTTTATGTTATTCTTACTTAGAAATTACTAATTAAATATTCACTTAGTTATCATCAAATCTCTCTATTTTGTTGTATTTTGTTAAACCGTTATGCTGCAGAATGTCCGAAATCAGTTTTTCGTGAAGTAAAATTGTGCACAAAAGCTGCCTACAAAGATGAGAGCTAGAGGTTATTCAAGAACTAGCTGAGAACCCACCCACCTATACAATTAAAGGAGAACTCTGGTCAATTTTAACATTGAGCTCATTTTTTTGTACATTTGGAGTGCTGTCAGTACAGACAAAAATGACAAAAATTGGTGTTGCCTATACCGTGTTATCGTCTTTTTAAAATTTGCACCCTGTTGACTTCAATGGGGCATGTTCTAAACCTGCTTTTAGCCTCTTAACATCCATTGATTTGTCATTACGAGTGCACAGCCATGTGAGTCGTGTTATTAAGAGTGACCACAGTCAATCTGACTGTAGATGTGAAAGATATGAATAAAAATTATGTTAATTCTGCCAGCTCACATACCTCTATTTGCTTCCTTTTTTCAGTCGAAGCCCACAGTAGTCGATTGTCGAGTTCACGAATGCGATCATTGGTGAATATCATAGCAAATAGAGATATGTGAGCTGGCAGAATTAACATCATTTTTATTAATACCTTTCACATCTACTGCAGTCAGATTGACTGTGGTCACACGTAATAACACGACTCACATGGCTGTGCACTTGTAATGACAAATCAAGGATGATAAGAGGCTAAAAGCAGGTTTAGAACATGCCCCATTGAAGTCAACAGGGTGCGGATTTTAAAAAGACGATAACACGGTGTAGGCAACACTGAGTTTTGTCGTTTTTGTCTGTACTGACAGCACTCCAAATGTACAAAAAAATGAACTCAATGTTAAAATTGACGGAGTTCTGGTTTAAGTAAATAATGCTACACATGTATTTTGGCAAGGTCTCATGATCACAGACATACAGACACAACCAGGCCTCTTACTAGGAACTTGCGTTTCTGTTTCCAGTGAGGGCCCTGGGCGTTGGTGTGGCGATGAGCCTCCGTCACCATACGAATGAGCTCCCACTCCGTGACGGTGGGCTCAGGTCGGTTGTGCAGCGTTTTCACAACCTCCTCTTTCTTCCTCCGTTCCCGGTTTTCCTCAATCAGACGCCTCTTGGCCACACGCTTTGAATCATCCAGCACCACTGCCAGGGACATGAATCACTCACACAATCACTCATTTAATACTCTCAGTACTTGGAAATGGCAGACAATGTTATGTAATGTCTTTGTGTGTATGCAGGTCTTATCAAAGGTCACATTTATAAATGTATTTTTTATTACAATGTCTTTCAAAGACTAATATGTCATTTTAGCTGTCATTTAGCTCACTTCGCGGACGAAGGCGAGTCTCGATCTCAATACTGCAACAGTAATATTCCCGCAATGGGAACATATACTGCCCACAAAAGCTGCTTCAGCGTGCTGTAAGCCCAAACACGTGATGCAACAATTGTGACCATCAGAGAGGGAAAGGGAATAACCACATCCAGAAATGCACAGTGAATAGTGAACTGAAACAGTGAAGCACTTACTTTTCCACCCTCTAACCAGCTGTCAACACACGCAAACCTTTAAAAATGTGTTGTTGTTAAAACAGCAGTTGAGAGCTCAAAGCTCACAATCACCGCTGCACTCGTGCTGTAGAAACCACCAGCACTGGGAGAGTTTTCCAGAAGAACACCGACACTCGCTCGTTGTAAACAACAGCACTCTTCAGAGACATAAAACGATCGGCTCCGAAGCGAAAGACAAATAGTGTGTGCATCCACTTTCTTTTTTATACCCGCACCATGGGGGGCGGAGTGTGTAATGTATTTCATACACGCCAATTACATTAATAATAGTACTCGAAGATGACAGGCTCTCTAAGCTTGATCCCGATCACTCGACATGACACGAAACGAACATGAGAGACTGAAAACGAACTCAAAATAAGTGGGTGAACACTCACAGTCAATGGCCATGCCCACCGAGATGCACTTCTTGAAGCGGCACAGCTGGCACTGGTTGCGGGTGATTTTATCAATGATGCAGCAGCTGTCATATTTACAAGAATATGAAGGATGAAGATTCTTCTGTATTGTCCTCCTGAAGAAACCCTAAGAGCAGAAGGAAGCAAATTAATGAGCAAGTTCAACGACTGTGATTGAGAGTCAAGTGGTTCATGGGTTGGAAATCTCACCTTGCAGCCCTCACATGTGATGCAACGGTAATGGTAGCCGGTGGCCTTGTCCCCGCACACCACACATGGCTCATCTTTCTCCAGGTAGCTGGGAACATACCCTAGAACAGAGATGCTATTCACTAGAAAAGGAGGAGGAAAATGGGCTGTTACAACAGAACACACACACACACACACACACAAACACACACCACCTCCACAACCCTGAGAGACCATGTTTACAACACTGATTGTAATATTGTTAATAACTCCTTTTGTGTTTTGGGAAATCATACATATTTCAAGCATCATGATGGTGAGATAATAACAGATTTTTTTTAAATTGATTCCAAAATGATCTGCAGATGGTGCGACTCAATTGAACTGACTAAACATAGACATTTTGGTGTGATTTATGCCACGACATTACAGACAAATACATTTACCGAGAATAATCATGCTTTAACATAATTCATATTCATATTTAAATATTTATTTTTGGAAGTTGCATTCAAAATACGCTTTGCTCAAAACTAGGAGGGGTTTGGGCATCAAAAAACCCCAAAATTTGGGTTTAGAATGCAGTGACAGCGTATCCAAAAGCCTTACCAGACGTGCTCTGCATAGAGCATTGACTATTCTTTCTTTTTCTTTTCACTCCATTTGGCCACCTGATGAGAGAAGAGAGAGAAGGGAGAGATAATTATACAGTAAAATCTGAAATAATCAGATTTTCATTCACTATTTCACAAGACTGACATTTTAAGCTATTTAAAATGTAAAATGTAAAAAAGCCTCCTATATACAGTACACAACAGCTGAAAAGTTTGAAGTCCATATGATTTTTTTATAGTCTTTTATACTCACATTTAAGGTCAGATTTATGTGATCAAAGTAATATTGTGAAATATATAAAAATGTTTTCTAATTGAATATATTCAATATTTTTTTTAACGTAATTTATTCCTGTGATGGAAAGCTGAATTTTCAGCATTGTTACTCCAGTCTTCACTTGAACGAGTGTAATTTGTATGCCCTTATTATTTCTACTGTTTTACATTATGTATTAAGATCTAACGGTAAAACTGATACTATTATAGTGTAATAAAACAGAATAATTACGAAACACTCAACTTGTTTAGACAAACAGGCAGTCCCACAACAAACTAACACCATGCTAACTCAGACAAGAAAAAGTGTTTTAACAAAAAAACTAAACACTAGTTTAGTTCACTGTGGTGAGCAGGACGGCCGAGGGACGTGAGAGAAAGTCGCGAGGCCGGTGGTGCGATTGCTAATGAGCAGCACCTGTGAAGCACACCGGTCTCGCATCTCTCACGAAGGAGCGGAGCCATAAAGGGGGAGCGACGGAGTGGATGATCGAGAGAGGAACAGGCCTGCTTTTGTTTGTGTTTTATATATATATATATATATATTTATTTATTTTTTAATAATAATAAAATAAAACTTTATTTAAACAAAATAAACAAACAAAATACCTGCCAGCAGCGCCTCACGGACGACTGCTGGCTACCGAAAATAAAATATAAAATACCGGCCAGCAGCCCCTCGCGGACGACTGCTGACTTACCAAATAAAATATAAAACACAAACAAAAGCAGGCCTGTTCCTCTCTCGATCATCCACTCCGTCGCTCCCCCTTTATGGCTCCGCTCCTTCGTGAGAGATGCGAGACCGGTGTGCTTCACAGGTGCTGCTCATTAGCAATCGCACCACCTGCCTCGCGACTTTCTCTCACGTCCCTCGGCCGTCCTGCTCACCACATTCACCCAAACATTTTAATTCGGTCATAATTTATTCACCCTCATGTCAATCCAAACCTGTTTGACTTTCTTTCTTCTGTGGAACGTAAAGCAAGTCATTTTGAGAAATTTTGTCTTTTATTTGTCAATACAGTGAAAGTCTATGGGGACCAAAACAGTTTGGTTACAAACATTCTTCAAAATATCTTCCTTTAAATTCAATGGATGAAAATAATTCAGGGTGGGAACTAAATGATAACAGATTTTTTTTTTTTTTTTTTTTTTCATTTTTGGCTGAACTATCACTTTAACTAAGTTGGAAAAATAAATACATGTGGTGGCCATGCGGTGGCACTGTTTTAAAATAATTTCACACTGCATTAATCACCTCAGCTGACCGCCTTAATTTGTCTGTCAACATTGTTGCATCACCTTGTAAAACTGAAAGAACATCATTAGATCAAACCACAAACCAGTTTCAAGAGTTAAATTAATGTGACCCCCCCAAAGAAACATAAGTTGCACTTTCACGCAAGTACCTCAGTTGAAAGCGAATAACAACAAGCGTCCCCGTCTACATGTGGAGGTTATGAACTACCTAGGCTAGCAGGATACAGCAAATGAACCTGACACACCTCCATGAACCAGCACACTTGTGTTTGAGAAGCTGAACACATCAACATCATTTGTATCCATATCAATATCACTCAACATAATAATTATGAAGATACAATAGTGTAACATTATTCATATAGCCTACAGCACGAACATAAGATTGTGTTACATAACCAATGACCAAAACATAACAATCTACTGAACTCAGTCAAAACCAACAACATGACTGCAAACGTAGCAAATAACTGAAATGAACGGGAAAACTAACTATCAAATGCAATATATTCAAACATCATCAGATATGTGGGATTTGAGTTTCATTAAACACACACACACGCACACAAAATCTTTTTTAAATAAATCTTTTTTTCTCTATCCTCTCGGACAGAACGGTATTAACTGACAATCTGCCCGTACATCAACAGACACAACTGAACAAACAGAAGGGATGGGATGGATGGAGAAAGAACATTTATATTCTACCTGTTGACATTATAGGGCTGTAAAATGTGCATGATTGCAGTCTCCCTCCTCTTGCCAAGCTGTCAGCAATCTATCTGCAGTAACAGGGACTCTGAGCTGGTTGGATGACACTTCTCTCACCAACCCCAACCCATCCCTCTCCCTCCAAACACACACACACACACTCCTCCTCCTGCCACAGCTCCTGTGCATCAGCCCTGTGAGCCCCACCCCTCCTCCATCACTAACCCCCAGCTCTCATCTTCCTCTTGACTCTCTCACTGTTTCTGTCTGACAAAATCATACACAATGAAGCAAAGGACCATCTGTCTTTAGCTGGTGCATAATGACTGGTGCAGTCAGTGTTGTTATTTGCACATACTAAATAATAATATTCAGCTTTAGAGTTTCTAGTATATATTCATGCATAAATCATCAACAGAACTATGTTAAAGCCGGACACACAGTGTTGTACACATCTTCAGTGTATCAATTCAATGCAAAATATGTATATGTCCGGTATACAGAGAAGTTCAAAAAACCGAGACCACTAATACTAGTTTGCATTATTCTAAATAAATATTTGTCTTTAATAATTTTTAAAACAATAATACAAATTATTAGGTACTAAATAAAAGTATTATTATTCATTTTAATTATTATTATATATTTTATTTATTATTATATATTTTAATTTATTTTTATAATAAAGTGGACAGTGGAAATCTGGGATATAAAATATTTGTAAAAATTTAAACAAAATAAAAAATATATATTAATTTTGAAAATTTTAAATCACTGCAATTAAATATGTGTATATATATATTAAGAAGTGTACCATGTCTGTTAACAGTATTCATATATATATATATATATATACACTGTAAAAATATTTTCAAGATTTGTTATCACAACATTTTTTCTTTAGTCAAATCAACTTAAATCATTTATTTAGTTCAGATAACTTATTATTTTGAGTTTCTGATGATTAAATCAATCTCCTTCATTGTATTAACTCACTTTTTCCAGTTCAATTAACTTAAAATTTTAAGGCAACCAGGTTACTTAATTTTTTAAGTTAAACCAACAATATTGTTTTACAGTGTATATACTTTTTGGTTGCGAACAAGTTAAAAATAAGAGTTACTATTTCATGGCTAAAGCTACCTACACTTGCCGATGACACATCAAAACAAAGTCCATGGGTGGATATCAAAGTTCCACTTCCTCCTATATAATTCCTTCACATGCTTTAAAGAAGAGAGGAGCTGAGACGCTGAGAGACGAACGTACACGCTCAGAGTGAATAAGCCTTTAAATGCTCACTCACGCATACTTTCTGCTAATCAAATTATAGAGGCATAATTAAATGGCGGGTCGAGGCGAGGCAGGGCGCAGGACAAATCTGCCTTTCAGGGAACCATCTGAAAGTTCTCTAGCTGCATAATAATCCCACAACTGACCCACAGGGCAATAAAACTGTGTGTGTGAGTGTGTGCGGTTTTGTGCATGCAGTAACTGAAAGTCTGGGGGGAGGGCGAGACCATGAGGCAGCACATGTGAGAGACACGTGCTTGAATGCTTCAAACGCACACCCACACACACACTGGTCACAGACAATCCGCCGAATGTCGTAATGATTCAGTGTCCTGAATTGTCCCTTGCAGGACAGTGGCCCCATCTGCCTTTGGTACCTCTCTCTCTTCTGCACTCTAATCTCTTTCTTTATTTGTCTTGTTCCGCATCTAATCGTATCATCTGATCTTAAAACACTTCACACATTTGGACGAATCATCAGGCACTCTGAATTACAATCACATTCGCTTAGGTTAATACGTACTGCTTTCTCCAGTGTAATGACTCCTTACATCCGTTTAAACGTTATATTAATGCTGCTGTTTGAATTTAGTATATACTTGAGTCAGGTTGTTCAGTCAAAGCATCGAGCAGTCAAATATATAAATATAATGATGCTACACTAATATTGACCATTGTACCTGGCAGCCAATCTAGTTTTATGTCTCTCTTATCACTCTGCGGCCTCTTTCATCTCACATAATAAAATAATTTCAGCTCAATTTCATCAATATCTCATGTCCATTTATGTGGTAAGGTGTAAGTGTAACAATTAGAAAAACCCGTTCTTATTTGAATTATTCTAATTGAGTATTTGATAATAACTGACAATTTGATCATAATAATCTTTATCATTAAAAACTCTCAAAATGTATTATAGAAAATATTATAATTATTATTCATTTAGAATTGTATCATATATTATTATTATTTTATAATATCGGTGTTATTATTATTCATGTATCAGCATTACAATTTGAGTGAAAAGTTTTATTGCATAAATTAGAGAAAGTAGAAAAGTACAAACTGAGTATATTATTAAAAAAAACCCATCTTTTTACACAGGCTTATTTTAATAGCTTATGCTTGTTTTAATCCTGCCTTCTAACATGTTGTGTTTCTATTGTATACTGTATTTCTTGTGTTTATTTTTTAATTATGTTTTACTGTAGCACTTTGAGATTTGGTGTCAAATGTAAAGTGCTTTAAAAAATAAAATGTATTATTATTATTATTATTATTTCATAATATACTCAGGGTTTATCAAAAGAAAAATGTAAAACAATAATATTATAAATTATATTCTTTAATGAAGCACATTTTTTCCCCTTGGAACTAACACTTCTGTTAATCAATCAGGCAGACACAGTTATTGGTAATCTCAAACTAGACAAATATCAGCCAATAATGAAAATTCTGTCATCTACTCACCCTCATGTTGTTCCAAACCTGTATGTATTTCTTTCTTCTGTGGAACATAAAAGAAGATATTCTGAAGAATGTTCTTGACCAAACAGTTTTGTGACATTGAGATTTCTCAAAAAAAAAAAAAAAAAAAAACAGTTTTTTTTTAAGTTCCACAGAAGAAAGAACGATTTGGAATGAAAGAATGAATAATTGATGAAAAAATTTTCATTTTTGGCGGAACTATCCCTGTAAGACTTACCATATTTTATAAATGGTATATACACACACACAGGATAACTCACCGTGTCTCATCTCCCTCTGGCAGGTTAAGCTCCTGCTCTTTTTGTTCCATTCACCTTGATCCCATCCAGCATCCAATCACACGAGACTGAGGCGTACCCGACCCTCGCCGCTTTGCTCAGCATACGCAGGGTCAGTATCAGTCAACTGCTATAAGATGGGTCATGATGACATAGCCCGAGCGTATTTCCTGCTCTGAATCAAATGCGTCTATACCTGTTTAAGAGAAAAAATATAATTCATCTTAAATAATGTAATAAACAGTTCAAGCAAGGGAGTCAAACAGTGAATTTCTCAAATCAAATCATCTTCACATGACACCTCTTCACTGCTCCTGTCCTCTAGAGGCTGCACCAAACTTCATTTGTAAAGCAGCTGTGGCTCAGTTTCAACACACGATGGTGCACATGCGCATGAGATCATCATGTCTGACCCCTCATCCCCAGAGTTCAGGCCAAGCTGCTCTCATTAGAAGGAAAAAGCCAAAATGATAAATGCATATCCCTCACGCCTGTGTGTAATTTTTCTATTCCTGCTCTGAAGCTGATTTGACTTCATTGTGCAAGGTCAATAACTCAGCCATTTCCAAGGCAACCACTCGGTCTAAGTATAGCTCAACCACTAGGTCTAAGCTGAACTGGGTTATTCCGTAATGGCTGACCTCGGTATTTAATATTTTAGCAGTTCATTCCATTTTGGGATTCATATTTTTTCTTGAAAAAAAAAAAAAAAAAGAGAGAGATTTTAGAGATTCAGTTTGTGAAGGATGGGCAGAAGGTCTCTCTCTTTCATTGCACTGACATGCATTATTACCTGCATCCTGCTACACCTTTAAGAGTCATTAAAGCTCCTTGAATGTGAATCAGAGTGATGTATGATGTCATAACTCACATTGTAGATACCCTAAACAAGATCAGACATGAGGCACCCCCTGGACATAAACAATTACTATTGAATCTCTTTTATTTTATAGATTCTGGTTTCTGATTGGTCAATATGGGTCCAACTAAAATCTACAATAGAATAGCTAACTAAAGATATTTAGCCGATATGTTTTAAGAAAGCAAATGTTGGACCCGGTACAGAACCTTCAAGGTATAAAATCTGAAAAATCAATGAAAAATCTGAAAGCTACTCGTCATTTTCACAAATTGTACTGGTAATTCTCCCCCCTGTCCAATTCTATAGTATCCAGCTGCAGACCCGCAGCACACCAGTTTCAGAACCCCAGCGCCAGAACCGGAAGTGAGGGGCGGAGCTTAGATTTGAAACCTAATAACGCCACCTAACGTAATTTGGAGGGTATTTTACACATGAAACAGCTTTTATTGAACAAATTTCCTACTCTCTGTGTTATGATGCTATACATTACTGTACAATAAGCATTTTAAAACATTGATTTTGTGTAAAATAATTGTATATAGTTTCAGTTATTCATTTCATTTTATTATGAGTTACTTCCTGATCATGATGGTGAAAAAATAATACTTGAAACTTATGGCCATTTTAATGTATAACAGTTTAATAATTTTAGCTAAGCAGTTTATACATACGTGTAGATTTAGGAAGATAAGACCTTTGTTTTTTGGTTTTTATGAAGGAGTTAACTTGTATAATAAAGCTTTGAAAGATATAAAACAAGACAATCATTGGAGGTTTTTAAAATTATGCACAATCTGATAACTCATTAGACCTCTGTGATATTTTATGTTCTATTTATTTATTTATTGTGTTTACAACAATCTTAAATTGTTTTGATATTAAAGATGCATTTGTAAGATGATTCTGATTGTTTAATAAAAAATAAATTTAAAAAACGCATGGGTGTTTTTTATAAAATATACTTTATTTCACAAGAACATGTGCAGCATGCATTTGTCGTGTAAAATAATGTCAAAATCTAAAAAAGAGAAAATTCGGCATTGTTTTTTTTTTTAAATCTATACAAAATGACCAGTTCAATCCAAGCTAGGCCTGTTTTATAACAACAATTTTGTTTAAATTTAACTTACAATGTATCAAACGAGGAACTCAAGGCCTGTTTTGTCCTTACATGCTTGCTAAAATAATTATAATGCAATAATAATAATTCCGCCCCTCCCTCACTTCCGGTTCTGGCGCTGGGGTTCTGAAACTGGGGTTCTGAAACTGGTGGTGCTGCGGGTCTGCAGCTGGATATATCTCGTCCAATTAGTGGCGAGTGTGTTCTTGCTGACTATCAAGTTATTGGTCAATAAATGGCTTTTCTGAGTTACATTGTTTACAAGCTGATTTTGACGTCTTTCTGCGGGTAAAACACTGAGCGATTACATGATGATACGCATTTTTGTAAATTGGATTCTGATGTTCATTCATGTTTATTTCGTTCTGTAACATAGTAAAGGGATGATCACGTTCCGCTTCACTTGAACCGAGGCGCTACAGTGATCTCTCGCGAGTCGCACCAGATTAAAGAGCACCAGAAGAACTGTAGCCTTTTTATTGTTTGAATTTTGTGATAAAATGGAATTTGAAAGCTGAGAATGTGTTGGACAAACAATTATGATGAAACCCGAATAAAATAAACCATAAATAAATAAATGCATAATCTAGCCAATATGTCCAGGAAGAATTATAACCCTCCATCTTCCTCCATCTATGACTATTTTCATGGCAAGATTAATGTATTTTACAAAAAAAACAAAAACAAATGGTAGCATACAGTAGTATTCAAAATCAACCACTGACAAACAACTCACATCATTTCAATATTTGATCAAAAATTTAGGCTTATTCCTGGTGAAACATTGAGGGTGTGTTCATACTTCATAGTTCAATTCTCTTGGTTCTTTTGGTCCAGACCAAAATAAAAGTATATGCTTAGTACAGGTTTGAGATGATAGAGGAATTTGACCATCTGTAATTCTCATAGAGAGAGCTTTCTTTGCTGCTGTTTGACATTAAACAAATAATTTAACTGATTTTATTCAACAATATAGTTCCATTTTTCTAATTCAACAGTTCTGGTCAATAGCTTCTATTCTAATGGAACAATCTGATGTGTGTGTGTGTTACACAAGGCATTGCAGCAGCCTTGGCCAAAGACACAAACATAACCTTCCCTCAGGAAATCTGTTCTTTAAATCTGATTGTTGCATTCACAGAGCCTTGAATTTCAGCAGAACATTCAGAAATAACTCAAATAAAACTGTATTGGTGATTCAGATGACCATGATTTACTAATTTATCAGCTAAATGGCTATTTGTAAATTCAGAATCAATTTAATTAGAAAGCATCAATCCTTTGCTTTCTGAACTCATTCAAGTACATAAAGAGGACATGCATTTGTATACAGCTCATGTACACAGTCCAAATGGCTAAAACACATTTTGCCAGAAGAGGACTGATGGGATGTCAAGAAAATTACTAGATTTGCAAAATAAAATTGACTTCTCTCATTTCCTTCCAAGTGAAGTGGATGGCTAGTTCTGCTTTCCATCTCTAATTTATTTTCAATGGGGAAATAAACCTAGCAGAAAAATGAGCACAGCAACGTATGTTTAGAATTAATAAATAACAGAAACCCAAACAAGTGCATTAAGTGCCGAGTTTCTTTCAATATAATATTGTGGGTAATGTATTAGTCAGGAAATGCATGTCTGGACAGATTGTTTAGCTACAGCAGTTGAAAAGCTATAACCATGTCAGCGAAGTGGCAGATTTGTCAAATAGAATTAAAAGAGGATGTTTGGAATTCTACTTAATTCTGTGGCTGTTTTGAAGAACTTAACCATAAAAAAAGCTAACCGAGCGTCAGCATCAGTTCTGGCAGGCCAGGTAGTCAAGATGCTGCTAACGATATCGGTCGACTACACGATATCGATCGACCCACAGTAGTCGATTGTCGATCTCACGTGCGGGATCATAAGTGAATATCATCTTTGAGATGATATTCACCAATGATCGCGCGTGTGAACTCGACAATCAACTACTTTGGGCTTCCACCGAAAGCAGGAAGCAAATAGAGGTATGTGAGCTGGCAGAATTAACATCATTTTTATTCATATCTTTCACATCTACTGCAGTCAGATTGACCGTGGTCACTCTTAATAACACGACTCACATGGATGTGCACTCGTAATGACAAATCAAGGATGATAAGAGGCTAAAAGCAGGTTTAGAACATGCCCCATTGAAGTCAAAAGGGTGCGGATTTTAAAAAGACGATGACACGGTATAGGCAACACTGAGTTTTGTCGTTTTTGTCTGTACTGACAGCACTCCAAATGTACAAAAAAATGAACTCAATGTTAAAATTGACCAGAGTTCTCCTTTAATGGACCTGACAGAAATTCAAAAAAAAAAAAAAATGTGATGGATGTCCTATGTAAAGCTTGTGCATTTTAGGAAGAAAAGCAGAAAAAGTGACAGCTGTAAACACAATTTTGGTGGATTGGTTTGAGTTTACTGTCTGGATAGAAGTAAGCATCTGAGATAACAACAAAAATGTTGGTAGAATGATGAAATTGGTTCTAAATAAAACCAGAATTTGGTTAACTAGATTTACAAAAGCAGACTAAATTAGATTAAACTGGATCAGATATTCTTGACACTCTTGGACTGCTCAACTGAAGTCACTTGAAGAAAAAGGCAGTGGGAATTCCCCAAAAGTGAGCCATGTATTGTGCCATTATGTAACCACCAAAATCCTCAGTTATGGCTTATGGGATATATTGCAGTAAACAAACACTGAATGTTATGGTAGACAATGGCAAGATACATTCTTTGAATCTGATCTGCTGAAAATCAGGAAGTCTTTAGCTTTTACTTTAATTATATCAGAAGATGAAGCAAGCATGATAACAGCCTTATGTTTAGCAAGGCAGTCGTACATGTACAACTAAAGCACTTTTATTAAGTTGCATTATATATGACCATTTCCTAAGCCTTTCCTTAATCTAAACGTAATAGGCTATATGCACGCATAAGTTCCGCATTTGACGGAAGGCTGCTCTTCAATTTCCGGTTGGGGAGATTTAAAGCGGAGGAAAACCGAGGAAAACGGGATTATGGCAAAATGAGGCTTCCAAATTTACTGTCCTCCCGTCTATGAAATGAAACTTTAATACATTTAGATGTAATTTTATATATAGTTATATTTATTTAATATAATAAACAACGAAGCATAAACAAAACGAGCGGTGTCTGTTTTGTCTGTTTTTGTGACAAACATTTC